GGCCCAACTTTGCCACTTACTGGCTGTGCTAAGGGAGAAATAATACCACCTACCTCAAAGGAATGGTCTGAGAATTAGAGAGAACATATGTAAAATACTTGGTATATAAAAGCTTAATAAATAACAGCAGGATAGGCAAAAAAAAATCCAAACTAAACCAAAAGGACAATAAAAAAACCCTTAAGACATCTAAGTCCTATTCAAATCTGAAGGCTTTTCCCTTACCCCAGCGGTTCTAAACCAAAGCAACTTTGCCCCCAAGGGACATTTGGTACTATCTGGAGACAGCTTTGGTTGTCACCACTTGGAGGTGCTACTGGCCTCTAGTGGGCATATGCTGCTAAACATCCTACAGTGTCCCACTACTATCTGGTCCAAAACACCAACAATGCCAAGATTACTTCCTGCCATATAGCATTCTTTGCTACTTAATGAGTAAGCTACCGCACCTTTCTTAGCCTTAGTTTACTCATCAGCAATATGCGAATACACTATCTCTGCTCCCTACCTCATCAAACTATTGAGAGAATCAAGTGAAATAATGGATAAGAGGCATTTTCATCAATAGACCTCTTATAACATACATCAAAGCACCCACTTGCTGGCCGAAAACAGAAGCATTTCCCTTACTGGGACGGGAGGGATGTTAATGGGGGTAGAATTCTTTTTCTGGGAATGCCACCATCCAAAGAGGGTCTCTTGCCTATCTACCTGCTTGATGAAGGCAATGGAGTTCTCATGAACCGTGATGTGATAACAGTACTTATTTCTCAGGGAGAAAGACAGAGCATGATAAGTGGGTAGGAACAGCACAGGCATATATATCAAAGAGGAGCTGACAGATGTTAGGAAGTGAGACACTGCTTGGTGTCTTAAGACTATGCGGGCTGCCACAACAAAATAACAGACTAGACGGCTTCAAATAACAGAAATACATTTTCTCACAGTTTTGGAGGCTAGAAAGTTCAAGACTAGGGTTCCCTTTTTGAAGAGGGCTCTGCCCCTAATTTGTAGACATTTGCCTTCTGTATCCTCGCATGGCAGGAGGAGAGATCCTTTCCTCTTCTTTCTTTTTTTTTTTTTTTAGACACAGTCTCACTCTGTCACCGTCAGGTAGAGTGCCATGGTGTCATAGCTCACAGCAACCTCAAACTCTTAAGCTCAAGTGATCCTTTTGCTTCAGCCTCGGAATAGCTGGGACTATAGGTGCCTTCCACAATACCTGGCTAGATTCTGTTAGCTTAGGCCTCCACCCTTATGACCTTATTTAATTTTAATCACCTCCATAAAGTCTCTATATCTAATAAAGTTACAAGGGAGGTTAGGGTTTCAACATACAAATTTGGGGTGGGCACAGTGCAGTTCATAATATTAAGACACACATCAGACATAGCTAAAGAGAGCAAACCTGTACCCTCAGGGAGGAGGCTCAGTGCTTTTCTATGCATACATCCACTAGATTCTTTTCCATCTGTCTTCTCTATAAGACATCCATTTAATTAATTCTTGCAATTCCTTAATTTAGGTGTCCCCTCAGGCACCCTGTGGACTTTCTGGTTAGAAAAGGATCTTCCTCTCATTTGTTCCCCAGTTCTCAAGTATCTGAGATCCATCAGGTCATGAGTTTCCAAATTGGTTAATCAGAATCACTTTAGGCACAGTTCTCAATTTTAGGAGCTTTTTTTTTTTTT